GGAGAACTGCTTCTGTTTGCACAATTAAGCTCACTGGTGTTTTGTCACTGGTGTTTTTCTATTGTCCAATCATTTGACTATTTTTTTTTTTTTTTTTTTTTTTAACTGTTGCTCATTTCCATGGCAAAACTTCTTTGTCAAAGTGGTAATCCCAGGATGAAGTCCTGGCCCCACCAAAGTCCATTTTATAAATTGCACTATGCAAGTTTTTGGAAAAACAGTCAAGTCCTCTTTGCTACAGTACTATGGCCTCTGCTTTAGGAGGTCCTTGCCCACTTTACCTGCTTGATTAGATGGTCTGTAGCATACATTTAACCATAAATTCCTGTCTGTACTTCCTTTATCTTTAATTACTAACACTGTTATCTTTCTCAGCTTTATGCAGTTCTGAATTTGTGTACTTTCTTGATTAGATAATGCAGTGCCCCTCTCCTGGGTAGGTCATATTCCTGTATTCCGTTGCTTGTCTCAATTCACAAACAAATCAGTTCTATTAATGTAATGGAACTGCTTGTGTTTCTACTCGTTCCTCTCTTTTTTTTTTTTTTTTTTCCTTTGTGTCACACTTGAAATGTATCAGCGATGGGGAGGTTGTAAGCTCACTTTAACTTTTTTTTTTTCCCCTCCATCAAGTCCAGATTTTAGGACTGTGTTCAGTCCTTTATTTTCAGCATTCATATTGACTAAGAATGCTTATCATCTACTTGATTAAAAATCATGTTTCATGGCTGCCTAACAGAGCTTTAGTGAAAAGTCTGCCAGTCCAGATACAGTCTATTTCATTGCCGTTTACCAAAGTTTAAGGGGAGAGGGGGGCATTTCCTTCCCTCTTCAAAACATGTACTATGTTCTTGTGCCTAGTCAACTAGCATTTTACAGGGCTTGCTTTGAGACCTGGGTCCTTTGAGACCTTGCTTTGAGACCGCAGTTTAGGCATGTTTGTCATTTTGGTCTGATCCTTTTCCAGTGCCTGAGTGGTGGGTCTTACTCATGTGTTCAGGATTAAACTGATCTCAGATTTGAGGTCAGGTAGATTTTTCTTTAGGTCAGACTGGCAAAGACCATTAGTTTTCCTTCACCCAGCCCCTTTCTTTACTTTGTAGCATGGGGTGTAATCTGCTTCCTGTAATCTTAATGTGTTTTACCTAGCTCTCACAGAACTCAGTGCCTTGGTGGTGTCCTTGTCTCCTGGTAGCTTTGTGTTGTCCACATTAAAAAGTCCTAGGTTTGCTAGGCAGAGATCTGTGACCATGGAGGATTTTGGAGGTTTGGAGGATGTTCAAGGGGATCCATTTGGGCAATCACTTATTGCATGTTTTTCTGCACTTGAAGGTCCAGATGGTCTCTTCAAGTCTTCTGTTTTTGTCTTTACAAACTATAAGCAGAATGAACACGCACGCACTTGGCAGCTATGTCTTGATGCACACATAAATACAGCCTTGTTCAGCAGTTCTATGAAAGAAAACGGCAACAACTGCAGAAATTCAGTGGTGCCTGATGAACTTCTGTTAGGTGGATAAAAGAGCTTTAGTTAACTACGTTAAGTTTCCAGTTCTGTTTTTCATAGCTAGGTGGATGCAGGTAGAGTTTAGTCCCTCCTTCAGGCAATCAGTAATATGGGGGGAGGACGGAGGAGTTCCAGATCCCAAGGCTGTGAAAGTGAGCATGGTTCCTCTTCGGATGCTCTTTTGCTGGTGGGTTTAGTTCTAAACTTAGTTGGAGTTGTCCCCTGCATTGTTCTGGGAATGGTACATTACTTGCACCTCAAGAAAAACAATTATCTCAGAAAAATTTTCCAACTTAATCTTTGTTTCCTTGCTCCATGTGGCCCTGTGCCTTCCCCATACCTCTGGCAGCTGCCAAAAGTGAAATCAGAGTGGAATTAATGATTAATTCCTTATGATAAAAGTCCATGTTGTGCTTCTTTCCGGGGTGTAATTGTGGCCCGAGGAATTATAATCTGCATCTGTTAGAGCCTGACACAAAGAAGCCAAGCTGCCCTGAAACTGTGCGTGCTACACAGTAAATTTAAATTGCTGATCTTAATCACCATTTAAAGGGGCAAATGAGAAACTTCTGATTTAAAATAGTGGTTCTCAACCTTTCCAGACTTAAAGCACCCCTTGATGGACTCAGGGTGCCCCTCAGAAAATGCCAGCTTGATTTTTTTTTTTTTTTTTTCACTTGAGTTGTTATTACTACAAAATGGAGTAATTCTTCTGTTGCAAATAACTCGGACCACAACAGGTCAGAATGTTTTAAACACTTTGGATTCATAGTTGAAATCTCTTGTTTTTTCTTGTGAATCATGCTTACACAGTTAACAGTACTAATGTCACATGGCACCCCTTAGCACCCTTGAAAGGATCTCAAGGCACCCTACTTGAGAAACACCATTTGTTGGAACTATTTAAAACATGCTTATTTCCAACTAATGATAGCTTTTACACTAACCATGGCAATCCTTTTGCTGCCCAGGTAAAAACACTCATTCATACACTTTCATGCTCAGCCTCATAATTGCTTCAATTTATTTAGATTCATGTGTTATAAAATACTTTTGGTAATATTTTTTTCTCGCAACTTAAGCTGCCTTCATTGAATTACAATTTCTATCCAATATGCAATAATAGCATATTCTAAATTATTTGCTAAATAAAAAAGCACCTTAAATGTTCCAATTTAAATAACAAAAAGTAAATTTATCAAAAACCTTTGAAGTAGTATTGGAGTGGTATTGTAGCCCTGTTCCATTCTTTCAACAGACTGATGTTATTTCTATATGGAGTTTTCCACAGGCTATTCTATTTATTATTTAGCTCCGGCTACATCAGTGTTTTCAGACTTGCAGAAAAACCCTTTGGGCATTTTTACACGTGTTGCAGGGGTGCACTTTAAGTAGCGGCTCCAAAAACCGCTCTAATTAAAGTGCCCAAAGCGTTTTGTATCATCAGCATTCCCACACTTCAAAATGGTGGAGGCTTGAAGCGCAGGACACTGATACACAAGAGGCGGAAGCTGGCTGGAGTGCAGTTATTGCCGCACTCGATTAATTGTGTCTGTAATTACAGTGCATTGAAGTAGCTTCCTGGTTTGTGTATAAGTGCCCTTAGCACTGAGAGCTTATCTGAAACTTCTCCCAACCTTCGCATTTAAACTAATTTATCAAAAGCTTAAAAAAACAGGAAGTATTGCATAGCTAATCAATGAACTGAATTATTTCTGGTCATAATGTCTTGGAAGACTTTTTTGGAATTAATGTCTCATCCGTTTATATCTAATTTTATTCATAGGTTAAAAAGCGAAAACTAGTTTACCTGCTTTTCAACTCACAATTAGCTTCTTAAAACTAAATTAACTAGCAACTGAAATTAAGATCTCTGTACCTGTAGGAGAGGCTAATGCTGGTAAAAAAACAAAACAAAACAAAAACTGTTATAGCACTTCAGCTCTGGCTATAGCAGTTTAGCCAATAACAATGTTTTCTTTTAAGTTTTGGGACCAAGTGTGTAGAGCTTAATACTTGTAATCAAAGTAGGCTCTAATATAGGTTGACATAATTTTATATTTTAAGTCTGTTTTTAAAAAGAAAAAATGCTTTAATTAAAAAAGACATTATCTACCCCAGTTTATTAAAGCTGAGAGCAGCAGACTAATGTTTTGTTAACTTCTGTTTGTCTTAATTGCTGGGTCCTACTTAACTATTTTTTTTTATGTGAAATGTTTTAACAATCAATACTACAGTTGGGTTTGGAAATCCTATTTGCTTGTCTCCAATCATGCATGCTATGGCACCTTTTTTTTTCTTAGTTAACTGCTTAGCATGATTTCTGCACAAGTTTTCTTTTTCTTGCTAGATAAAGGAAATAACTTGGATTAAGAATGGATAAAGCTGCCTCGGTCTCAAAATTCCCAGTGAAAAAAATGACTCGACCCAAACAAAAAACCCTTGGGAGTTGATTCTGAGGCACTGAGCATCTGCAATTCCTGTTCATTTAACCTCTCTAATGTAAAAATAATATGTTAAATAAGAACTTGTACAAAATCTCCATTTTATCTATGGGTAGACTAAGCAGTTGGTTCACTGCTAAGTCTATGGCGTGGATCAGTCCTGTAAGCACATCTTTCTAATTGGAAGTCAATTCATTTGTGTTATTTTTTTAAAACTATATAAACACTGCTGCTTTTTATATGTGTACCTTTCCATCATGCAACCTGGAGGAAAGAGAGAGAATGTCTATAGAGTTGAAGGAAGGATGTCTCTTTCTCTCTGGCTAGAAACAGATATCCTCAAGTAAAACATGTGAACTGCCGGGATATGTCCTAGCAGAACTTATCTGCTTCATTCGGCAAAACACTTTGCTCATTGTCCGTCTTGTTGATCTTGGAGGACAACAGGTGACATGTTCCCCACTTGCAGAGACAACCCTGGCAATCTTTGGGAGCTCAGTCCGGTGCAGCCCTAGAGCTGAGACATCAGTCATCTGACTGGCAACCAAATAGATGTCTGCCTCAATAAAGCAGCAGAATTTATAACTACTTCTTGTTACTGCCACATTGTGGCATGACAGAAGGTATAGACTTTAATTTGGTGTCACTTTGAGTCATCACAAAAAATGTATGGCAGTGAATGGTGACATCTGTTTTTACTTTGCAGTTTCTTATAATTTTTACCACGTGCTCTCAGGGGAGGTGTGGCTGACCCCTAGATCTCAACACCTGGAGATTTAAGAGGAAAGCTGAAAATCTGTAAATAATATGTCTTTGTGTATGTGCACTATGATACAGTCTTTAATTGGGTGATCACATGAGGACCCCCCCCCCCCCCCCAAAAAAAAAAAAAAGAAAAAAGAAAGAAAGAAAAGCCAAACTCCTGCCTCACTTGCTCACTGTGCTGCTGTGGATCTGATCTAGGGAAAGCTGTCTATACTGAAGGAATGTGGTTTGTTTGTTTGAGGGTTTTATTCTCTTTTTAGGACTCTCTCTTTCTTTTTTTGCAGAAGTTGGAGGATGTTTGGGGAATGAATCGGGGGATTTCGGGAAGAGAGGCTGGCATCATGACTGAAGGCAGTTGAGTGCTGCACTGGACTGTTGGACAAAGCCGTCTCTCTGCTGCAGCTTATACAGCTAGTCAAATAGCCTAAACCCAACTTTTTGTAAGTGTTCCTCCTTGTTTTCTGGGTACTAGGTTTGATATACTGATGTCTAATTTGCAGAAGGAGTGAGCACTAGCAACTGCAGCTGAAGTAAACAGGAATTAACTTGAATATATGAAGTTCTATATGATGATTACTTCTCTTTTAAAAAAAAAAAAAAAATCAAAAAATCGAGGTTTTAGGTGTGTCAAACCGCACCCCTAAATGTTATGGATACTTTTAACTGCAGTCTTTCTCCTTATAAAATGGGAATTCCACCCCTTTATCTCACAGAGTTGTTGTGATAATAAGTGAATTAATATTTGTGAAGTAATTTTAGTTGCAAGAGCTTTAGACAAAGAACAAGAAAACTAATAGTTCTTTCACAGGACAGAGTGCAACAAGTAGGGCATTAGGCCAGCTAACCAAACAGTCGTAGGTAGAATAACAGAACATTGTGCATTGAATGAGGCAGGTGTCCTACAGACAGGGGGTGGAAAAAGTCTGTTATAATATAGCTAAAACTGTATCATAATGCATATGCACAAGGGTGGGGCAAATTGTGGTGGTTTTATAGGTATCTTTATTTTTTATCCTTTGTAGCTTTTTGACTGCTTGGCTTTGCAACATGAACCTTATAGCTAGGGGTCTACCAAACTCGGAGGTGGGTATCCGATTTCACAGGCAGATTGTGCACAGCTGCCATATTCACAGACTAAGCATGGCAGGGCCCTGCTGTGCCTCTGTTTGAGGGGATACGGCAGTCCCGTCCCTCCCCAAAGATTGCCACCACACCCTAAACCCTAATTAGGCCTGGGGAAGCCATTAATTCAAATGTTATTAAGCGTGCATTAATGGCTTCTCTGGGCTTAATCAGAGCAATTTAAGCTGTGGTTTCAGGCCATCCCCAAGTGGTGAGTTTTGCATTTTGGGTGCACTCATTGTAAAAACAAAACAAAATACAAAAACAAAACAAACCAGCAAGGAGAAAAGTATGCAGAAAGACCTGCAGTCTTGGAGGGAGGGGAGAGAGTGGAGGCATCCCTGCCCAGCCCCCCCACCCCTCCATCTCCATTTCATTCCCCACTATTTTGCGTAACCCCACCTCCCTCCCATAGCCCTGGTCTATTGTTTATATAACTCAGCCTCCAATCCCACCCTCCCACTCCTTTCCCCGCCTCTCCTTCCATCATTTGCATAACCCTACACACATTCAGTTCCACCCCACCCTTTAGGAATCACTCCATCTCCCTCCCTCATTCCATTATTTGCATAATTCATCCCTGTAGAGGGATGCAGCAGGATGCAAGGGGCACCACATGTATGTGTGGTGCAGCCAGACAATAGCTTCCTCGGTTGCCTGTAGTTAAGTCTGTGGGGGTGGGGTTGTAGATCGAGGCCCCTACAGCGAGGGAGGGAGTGGGGGCAGAGCTGGCAGATGGGGAGGCTGCCCAGCTGGGGTGGTGCTCAGGTCCTTGACAGGAATGCACAGCAGCGGGGTCAGCTGGGGAAGTGGGATGGAGCCACAGGTGGCTAGTAGGGGAGCTGGCTCCCCAACACTGTGCGCATTCTTGGGAATGGGATGGGCAGCAGAGGCAACCCATCATTGGGCATGGGAGGGCATGTGCTCTCTCAGATTTGTGGGCGGGAGCGGATGCAGGCTGCCTGCTGCGGGGCTTGGGGTTCCCTGCCCTGCTGCCCACCCCGCAGGGGCCTTCCTGTCCCAGTGGACAGGACCTGAAATGGGGGCTGATGGGTGGGGAGGCTTGGTGCCATCACTGCTGCCACCAGGACCCCTGTGCCAGCTATGCTGTCATGGAAAGGAACCCCTGCATGCATGGCAGCAGTGGAGGGGCACAACTCGGTGGGGGTTCGGTGAGGCCTCAACTGCCATTGGAGCCCCATGCCATTTGTGCCATGGCAAGGTGCCTCCTGTCAGCTCAGCCCCTGCTGCTGCATGTGTAGGGGTGCCTCACCATGGTGGCATGGCTGGCGTGGGGCTCCCAGAGGTGTTGGTGGCATCAAGACTTCCAGCCCCACTCTACCCTTCCACTCCAGGTCCCTCCTGCTGGGCTACAGAGGCCCCTGTGGGGAGGGCAGCAGGGCAGGGAGCTCAGTCCCACAGCGTGCGGCCTGCATCCTCTCCTGACCCCCACAGGCTCTGCTCAGCTCCGCTCTGGCTGTGCCACCCATACGGGGGGGCGCCAGGCTCTGCACTCCTGTCCAGCCACAGCAGCCGCTGCCTCCTGCTGGCCAGCTGCAGCTGGTGCCCACAGAGCAGGGAACAAGAAGGAGTGTCCCATAGCCCTGGTGACTTGGGGTGGGGGGGCTTCAGGCAGGGCTGAAGGAGCAGGGGGCTGTGGGTCATGAGTGAGGGGGGGGGGGGGGGGAGCTGAGGACTGCAGGTTAGGAGTGAGGAACACCAGCAGAACTGTGGGTGTTGGTGGCTGTAGGTCAGGAGTGAGGGGCACTGGCATGGGAGGGGTCAGGATACCAACTGGCATATTGGGGCTGCTTAGTGCCACAAAGCAATGAGGGTGATGACCACAGTCCTGGTGAGTGAAGGGGGCAGGGGGAGCTCTGATTTCCCATAATAAAAAAATAAAATTAAATAAAACTCCAAAATATATAGGTATTTAGAATTTATTTTACTATAATGACTGAGGCACTTGTAGGCTTCTAATTGCGGTGTGGAAAAACGTGGATTTGGGGTTTTTTAATCGGAGCATTTGGGTTTTTTAAACAGAAAATCAAGATCCCTGCTTATCGCCTAGATGGTGGCAAGGTGGGGGCAGTGGAAAGGGTGATAATGCTATGTAAGGAGGGGGTGGTTGAGATTGAGAAGCATGAAGGCCCTTTTCTGGTGGGAAATGGGGAGCACGGAACATGGGAAAGGATTTAGGATATGCAGCATCTCTGGCATGGTGAAAAATGGTTATTTGAAAGGTAGTTATTGCGTGGGGGGAAGGGTACAGCCCATGGAATGCTGGGGAAAATGGGGTAGAGCCTGTGCAAAGGGGATCACGGGAGAAGGGGAATGCTGTTACAGGGTAGGATGATATTTGTAACACCAACATATAGAGCCTGAGGGAAATGGAAAAGTGACAAGCTAGGGTTAATGGTATATCCCCAAATAGTGTATTTACTTTGCTACTGAGGTGGGAACTTGAATACTTGCCAGTTATTCAGCAGAATAATTAAATGAAGCAAGTCTGTTTTATTTAGCCTTTTTTTCCTCTCCAGACTCACTTCTGGATGACCAATGCATTTCTTAATTGATGATGTCGGGACCTAAATCTACAACTTCCCCCTTGTTCCAGCTCATAACAATGTGTACAATGCAAAGGCCACAATTCAGGATCACAAAAACATTACTTTTAAAACTTTCTAGATGATTGTAGTTGCTTTGGTTGTGTTCTACGCTAGTAGAAGCCTTTTTCAAGGTATACTGCTGACTTTAGGGCAGCACTTCCCCTTTTTATTGGGAACCTTGGGGGCTAGCAACATGGGAAACTCCTGCGTATGTCGAGAGGATAGCGGAGTAGAAGACAACGTGGAATCTCAGAACCGGCAAGCAGAGACCAGTAGAGTACCAGTACCTGAAGCAAGAAGCCATCCAAGGGACCCTGTAAGGCCACCCAGGAGGGGTCGAGGCCCACATGAACCAAGAAGAAAAAAACAGAATGTGGACGGGCTAGTGCTTGACACGCTGGCAGTGATTCGGACGCTGGTAGATAAGTAAGTACCATGCAAAAGATTATTTCAATATTGATGAAATTTCTGCCCTAGCAAACTTTGCTTGCCTTAAAATCTCCTCCTCAACCCAGAATGTACACATACTTAGTATCTTAAAGGGAATGTGTTATCTTTTTTCCAAAGATCAAAAGCTTTGGGGTGTTTTTATTTACTTCCTTGTATGTCTTTTTTCCTGAAAATGGCTCTGCAGAATTAAAGAAAAAGAGAGCACTTTGATCTTCATTAGTTTGTGCTTAACAAAGCTTTTCTTCCTGGTTATAAATCTAACAGTTTTTGGGCACATCCCCATGAATGCACACGTGTAGTTTGTGGCTCCGCAAACCTACCTGCAACGCTGCAAACCACACGTGCTGCACATGTACGTGTTTTTTTTCCGCATGCACCAGAAAAGGGTGGGGTGGTGCATGTGGCAGCAGCATGTGTTACCCCAAACCAAAGCCTGGCCAACCTGAGCCACGCTCTGGCTGCTGGCCAGGATTCCCACACCTGGATTGCCACAACTGATGCCCCAGGATCTCAGGAAAGGCTGCTAGGGCCAGCTCAGGTGATGACCCCAGGCTCCCCTACCCCACCCAGGGCAACTTGCCACACTCCAGAGCATGTGTGCAGGAGCGTTCTCCAGGGACAAGTAGCAGGGTCAGCACCGTTCAATATCTTCATTGGCGACTTGGACGAGGGGGTGAAAAGCACCTTGTTCAAGTTTGCAGATGACACTAAGATGTGGGGAGAAGTGGGCACGCTAGAAGGGAGGGACAGGCTACAACTAGATCTGGACAAGTTACAGAGGTGGGCAGATGAGAACAGGATGGGTTTCAATACGGACAAGTGCAAGGTGTTGCACCTGGGGAGGAAGAACCAGCAGCATACCTACAGGCTGGGGAACTCCCTTCTCATCAGCACAGAGGCAGAAAGGGATCTTGGAGTCATTATTGATTCCAAGATGAACATGAGCCGCCAATGTGGGGACACGGTCAGGAATGCTAACCGCACCCTGTCATGCATCCACAGATGCATCACAAGCAGGTCCAAGGAGGTGATCCTCCCCCTCTATGCGACACTGGTCAGGCCACAGTTGGAGTACCACGTCCAGTTCTGGGCGCTGCATTTCAGGAGGGATGCGGACAGTATCGAGAGGGTCTAGAGGAGGTCCACCCACATGATTAGGGGGCAGCAGGGCAGGCCCTACGAGGAGAGGCTACGAGACCTGAACCTGTTCAGCCTCCACAAGAGAAAGCTGAGAGGGGATCTGGTGGCCACCTACAAACTTGCCAAGAGGGAGCAGCAGGCAGTGGGAAAGTCCCTGTTCCCCTGAGCACTACCAGGGGTAACAAGGAACAACAGCCGTAAGTTGACCGAGAGTAGATTCAGACTAGATATCAGGAGGCACTATTCACCGTCAGGGTGGCAAGGAGCTGGAACCAACTTCCAAGGGAAGTGGTGCTTGCCCCTACCCTAGGGGTCTTCAAAAGGAGGCTAGACAGCCACCTAGCTGGGGTCATTTGACCCCAGCATCCTTTCCTGCCCATGGCAGGGGGTCAGACTAGATGATCTGCTTAGGTCCCTTTTGACCCTCCCAACTATGAAACTATGAAATATGTGCTGCTGCTATTTGTCCCCAGGGAAATGCACTTTCCTGCTCATGAGGATGTGCCCTTTAAGGACAAATCATTCTGCTGTCATCTTTGCTTATTCAGCATATCAGTGGAGGGAGTTGTGGATGCACAAGGATTACAGGGTTCAGACTTGTTTTCCATGTTTGTTGCTTTTTGCAGAGCCCTAAAGACCTTTAAAGTGTTGAGGTTGATAACTAAGTTTTTAGAATTTTATTTTTATCATTCTCACCAAAATTATGCCACAAGAAAGCTGTCTTTTCCCCCCTTTCACTCCACTTTTCTAGCACCCAGATATATGTAATTGAGTTTCACCTGTCTGAACAAGAATGAGCATGTTGTGTGGTCTGAATAATTTTGTTGCACACAGTAGGGAGCAAGAAAAAAAATATTTTCACCTGAAACGTGGGTAAAAATGGATGAAGGAAGCATTGGCAACTTAAAATCGAAACGTCTGTTATAAAGAAGGAAGAGTTAAAGTAAACTTCTTTAGGCACTTAGTTTAAACTGAAAGAAAAGGGCATCTTTTTTCTGGTGGTGCTTGTGAGCATCCCCATCATTAGAAAGCACAGTAACATACTTCAGAGAATGTATTACTCGAGAAGAAGAATGTTTTGGCGACGGAGGGATGAAATGGAGGAGTCTTCAGGACACTGAAAGAAAGAATGGAATAAGAATGATTTCAAAGCAGTGCCACAGAAAATGGCACTGAAATTACTTGTTCAACTTAGACATACAAAGTTTCTGTACTTTGTATCTACATTTTTTTGTATACTACTGAATTGGTGGCTAAAACACAAGATTTGATCAGAAAGTTCTGTTCATTGCATCTTTTTATCATTTCCTGTTTTTTCTTCTTAACCTTCTATCATTATATCTTTTCTCTAGAAAATAATCTCAGTATGGTACCACCTTTTTCCTGTTTATGGTATAGCCACCTTTCTTTTTAAACAGGTTTTAGCTTTTTTTTTTAAAATAACTGATCACCTTTCTTCAAGTTTTATTTTTATGGTATCATATTTACTTTTTAGCAACATAGAGATAGTACATCTATTTAAAACCTTTTATTGTGAACACATTAAACTGGGAATACCAGATTCTCATTCATTCAGTTTTTAGCTAGAAATTGTTAAACTTGCTGCAATTCTTTGTTCTAAGGTTTGCAAACTTTTGTCCTTTAATCTCTTTTGTCTCTCTTGTTTCTTAATTCAGTGGTATTTAAAAATCAGTTCACATCAGTATGGTGCATATTAACTCTCTTAAACTTCAGTAATTGCTTTGAACACAAAACTTGTAGCAGGGAATTCTTTAGACCTGATCTTGGCATTGATTCACACTACCATGGTGGCTTTGGTTTAGTAACATAATCTATATTTCTTTTTCTCTGTCTGCCTCTATTAGTCTGAAATCAGGCAGGACAGGATGGCACCTTAGTAACTAACTCGTTAAGAAGGGCATAAACCAGGGTGGGCAATTATTTTGGCTGGAGGGCTGCTAAACGAATTTTGGTGAGCTGTCAAGGTCCGCAAGGGTGGCCCCACCCCCTTGTCAAAATCTTGGGACCAGAAGTTTCAGTCCTAGCCTCTGACCTTGGCCACCAGAAGTCCCTCCCCTTGCCCCTGGAAGTACTCCTTTTGGGAAGGGGGTTTGCCATCTTGGAACAACAACAAAAAATTATATACTAAAAATCACACATCCATAATAATACATTTTAATTTTATTTTTTTAAAATGTTTTTGTCCTGATTTGTGTGTTGTGCAGTGTATAGAGGTGATTGCATAATAGCTCAAAATGAGGTCTTACTCTTGTATATTGTGGGGGGATATGAAGGGATGTGGGGGGTATGGGTTGGGTAGGTATGGGGTTTGTGGGGGGATGAGAATGTATGTGGTTGTGTGTCTGTATGTGGAGTGTGGAGGTATGTGTGGGTGGTTATGGGGGGTATGTGGAGTGTGGGTGGGTATTGGGTTTGTGGGGGGTTGTGGAGTATGTGAAGGGGGAGGGTAGCTGGGGGTGGTATGTGGCTGTGTGAGTGTAACAGTGAACAGAGCTTACCCCAGAGGTGTGGGAGAGGGTGTGGGTGGGTACGGTGTTTTTGGGGTGCATGATTGTGTGTGGTGGAGAGTGTGGGGTTGGCAGTGTGGCTGGTCAGCCTCTGCCCCCACCCTGCAACAGTCCACAGCCCGCGTGCCTTGTGGCGCCTCCCCCGCCCCTGCCAACAACGCATAGCCCCAGCATGGCCCGTGTCCACTCCGCATTGCCCAGCCGTGGCGTGTCCTTTTGCCCCTGGGCATGCAGCATGGCTGGGGTGCCTCCTTCTGGCTGCTGCTGCTGTCCCCAGCCCCACGGTAGCAGCAGGTACCAGCGAACGCATTCCTGGTCCCACATGGTCTACGCCAGCTCTAGGCTCACCTGTCCACACTGAGCAGCAGCAGCCAGGCAGAAGCTGTTGCTCAGCATGGCAGGGAAAGTGGCCCTTCCCCCTTGCCACCACCAGGCAGTTTTTGGTGCAGATGCCCGGAGCCCGTGCTGTGCTGGGCTGCCCTGTGGCTCCATTACCGTTGCCTCTGGCTTGCCCCACAGCTGCTCCACACTGTTATCAGTGCTGCACAGGGCACCCCAGAGGCGGTGGTGATGTGGTGTAGATGCAGGGCAGCCTGGTGCGCGCTCTTGGTGGCTACACCTGGAAGTGCTGGCGGTGGTGAGGGGGAGAGGCTGCTTTTGCCCCGCACTGAGCAGCAGTTTATCCTGCACTGCTGCTGCTCAGCCCAGCCAGGTGAGCCTGGAGCCAGGACGGGACGCGCAGGGTCGGGGTTGCACGTACTGGTACCCGCTGATACCGCAGGGCTGGGGGCAGCGGCAGTAGCTAGAAGGAGATACTCTGAAAATATCAGATATGCCTTTCTGAACAAGTTGGTCTTTAAGGTGCCATCCTGTCCTTCCTTCTAATTGCTTGTGAAATACGAATGGTAAAATACCCATCTACAACAAAGGTGTGTCCGTGAAGATTATTTTGTTTGTCAACACCCTTTGAAGATGAACATTGCTATTGATTGCTTTTAGATTTGCAGCTGCAGGGCAGGTCTGTTGCATGTGTATGTCTGCCTTCGGGGAGTACTGCTAATTGAGAATATGGGTCTCAAGTCGTGGTGCACACAACATTTAAGGTCTCAGCATTGATCTTCATTACACTGCATAGGAGTCTTCTCTAAACTTCACCATGGGACTTTTTAAATGCATCTTGTCATTTGATTTTCCTGTATCCTTGCAGGATCCTTAAATCCATCCTTGAGTCCTAATGTAAAAATACACCAGTGTTGCCTGAGCTGAAGCTTCAGTTTCTTTCTGAATATTCACATGTAACTTCTCTAAAAATGGCTAGAATTCTTTCCTGGGAAAATCGTGTGTTATGACACTGGCTTTGGATAGCTCTTTAGGTTAAATTGATATGAGATCTTGCCAGTTTCCCTCTTGTTTTATTATCTAGATTTTCTTATCTTTTGGAATGTCTCTTTACTGGCTCCGGGCTACAGCCATCCACCAATATGGGAACTGGGGGTGGGGGAGGTGGAGCCCCTTGGCATGCGGGCCCTCCTAGCTATGCTGGCTCAGAACCGGGGCCATGTGGTGGGGGACTTGCAGAGGGGAAGGGGGG